CCAGACACTGAAGCAGGTGAATGTTGATGGAGACTCCCAATGCATCTAGACAGTTATGGTGGCTTGTCCACAAAGGCCTTGGCTCCCATCCCCATCACCTTCCCCAGCTGTCTCCTTTGTACATCAAAGTCTTGTACATCAAAGTCCTTAAAGGATGGGGCTTGGACAGCCCTGAGAACTTGTTGGAAAAGCAGACTCCCCTGCCACCATCAGAGTCTGCGTTTTACCACGACCTCCACAGGGTTCAAGCCAGGGGATTTGTGTGCCAATTAAGGTGTAAGCATTGTTGTGGTGTGGAGCAATTACATCTGAAATGCATGGGAGTCAGAACTTCCTTGGACAATGAATTTGATGCTGTCACTGGGAATTTTCTCTCCAGCCACAAGAATACATTCATGTGACCCTTGGAACTAGATTTTTCATTCATTGTGGAAGGGTGGAGTCTTGGTCTCCCTGCAAAAAAACTATACCAACTTAAAAAAAAAAAAAAAGCTGAATCACTTTTATCAAAATGCTAGAGTACAGTTTTAATGATAAATCACATTTGTTTGTAGCAAAAACTTTTCTTTATGCCTCTCCACTTCCAAGTTTTAATTCTTTACCATTTGATGTTTAGATATTAACCTGTGGATTTCCTGCTGTGGAATTGAAGATTTAGACTTCCTCTCTTCTCTCTCACCCAGTCACTTCCCCTCTTTTCAGCTTTCCAATAGAACAAAATCAGTTAAAGTTAATAGTCAGCACTCACATTATCCTAACTACGTAAAAATTTTCATCCTAACTAGGTAAATATTACTGTTTAACTTTTTGTGTTTCTTGGAGTTAGTAATTGCTTTGTTTTCGTATTTGCTTGGTTTTCTTTTTTTTTAATCATTTTATTGGGGGCTCTTAACAGCTCATGTAACAATCCATACATCAGTCGTATCAAGCACATCTGTACATACGTTACCATCATCATTTTCAAGCATTTTCTTTCTACTTGAGCCCTTGGTGTCAGCTCTTTTTTCCCCTTCCCTCCTCCACCTTCCCACCTTCGTGAATACTGATCATTTATAAATTATTTTTATTTTCATATTTTACACCATCCACGGTCTCCCTTATTTTCTTGGTTTTCTAGGCAACAATTACTAATTCAATCCTGTAGCTTTTAATGTAAGCGCAACATTTATTTTGAATATATTTAAACACAGCAGGCAACCAATTTCCTTTTCTTCTGAGGACATCCTCCCTGGAGCAACCTCCCCTCTGGTTCCAGGCGAGGTCGGCTGCTGTCTTCACTGTACAGCTGACACCAGTCCAGACCTAGCTCATCATGCCTCACCTGTGCTTAGTCTCATTTCTTCAATCCTCTACCGTCCTCTTTCTTAATGTAATCCCTTGTTTTGCTGAAGCACATCCTCCTGTACCTTCCTATGAAAAGGCAGTGCCTGGAACTGCTCCTCTTTGGTGAGATGCGCGATGCTAGCTGGTGGTGATGATGTTGAAAGTTGGAGCCCTGGTGGTGTAGTGGCTGCCACCTGAAAAGTCAGCCGTTTGAAACCACCAACCGCTCATTGGGAGAAAGATGGGGCTTTTTACTCCCGTAAAGAGTTACTATCTTGGAAACCCACAGGGTCAGTTCTACCCTGTCTTACAGGGTCGCTAGGAGTCGAAACTCAACGGCAGTGAGGGTTTTTGGTTGTGTTTAATGGCCCTTGGGCTGGATGTTCCATTCCCCACCCCTGCGACAGGGTTGCTATGGAAACCACTGGATGGCAGCGAGGACTTTACCTCAAGGTGTGTAGCTGGGTCCCAGTTTCTCTGGAAGCCCCGTGAGGACCTGAGGACCTCTGGACAGGAGTTTACCCTCCTGGAGGCAAAAGGGTAAAGCTCTCTGAGCCCAGACACCCACCCACCACCTACAGCCTGCCCTCAACAAGTCGCGTGCACAAGACTCTGTACCTCAGACCCGTTGCAGAGCACCTGGTAAATTCTCAGAGACCCATCATCCCTCTCCTGCTGCTGTAGGGAGTTGCTTCAACTTGGGAGGACTCCCGAGTGAAGAAATGAGGACATGACTCAGCTTTGTTGGAGCGGGAACACAATCTTGGTCAGGCTGATTGGGTAACGTACGAAGGAAAATTGGAACTGAAAAATCAAAACACATGAAAAAAAAAGATGGTCGTCTTGTACCTGTCCACCTGAGAGACACGTCTCTTTCAGAAGCCAACTGCTGGATAAACCCGGGAGTCCAAACAAGGGCAATCAAGGAATGGGCCTAAGGCCCCATGGCATTGGCTTCATGGGCTGTTGAACTTTTACCACCGTGGTAGTCACCTAATCTGGTGTCAATTTAAGGATTAAGCGTGTAGGGGTGGAGTCTAGGCTGTCAATCTGGAGATAGCCAATGAGACTTCTGTGTGGGTGAGGCTTTTCCTGAGAATTCTGGGAAATCTGGTACTTCTTCCTTGGAAGTGGAAGACTCCTCTCTCTCTCTCTCTCTCTCTCTCTCTCTGCTACTCCCTGGAGACATTGCAGAAGACAAGTCACATGGATGCCACCAGACCTCTGGAGCCAGATAAGCCACAGAGAGACTCCTGCCAGCGCTGAGATGTTTCCAACGCCACTAGATCCAAAGACTTTCTAACCACTGGCCTGTGATCTTCTGCATTCGGCGTCATTGCATGTGTTTTGTGAGTCTGAAGAGGACTTTATCGATTGATAATCAGAAATATGGGCTAATATTGGACTTATGGACTTGATCTGGACTGGGCTGGGATGTTTTCTCAATGTTCAATTGCTCTTGTATATAAATCTCTTTCTTATACACATATGTGTGTCCATGGATTTGTTTCTGTAGTCTACCCAGACTAACACAGCCACCAAAGATGTTAAGGCCACCAGGCCCGAGTCCTTAAGACAGTCTTGGTGAAGGTGGAGAATGCAGCCTGATTCTTGCCCTCTCCCGCCGCCAGCTACCCTTCCATGTTTGATATTGGAACGTGGATTAACTTCTCTTAATTAGGACCCCTTTCTACTTACTCTTGCCTCTCAAGTCATCCAATTGAGACACGCTACAACTATTTACAGATTATCAGTGGGAATAGATAACTTTTCTAGTTGCCCAGTGTGTTAGTCTGGGTAGACTAGAGAAACGAATCCAGAGACACTCATGTATGAGAGAGCTTTACATTAACGAGTTAACTGTATATTAAGAAAACATCCCAGCCTAGTCCAGATCAAGTCCCTAAGTCCGATATTAGCCAATATGTCTGATACTAATCTATAAATTCCTCTTCAGACTCATAAACACATGCAAATAACACTGAGTGCCGGGAGATCACAGGCCAGTGGGTGGGAAGTCTGTGGATCCAATGGCAGTGGAAGCATCTCAGTGCAGACGTGGGTCTCCACGTGGCTCCTCCAGCTCCAAGCCTCTGGCTACTCCTATCAATCAGCATAGCTCCATGTGGCTTGTCAACAGGAATGTCTTCTAAGAGTGAGTGTGTGTCCCACCTCCAATGAGCTATTTAACTCCTTAGCGCCTCCACATGAGGTCATCAAGCTGCAACCTGATTGACAGGCTAAACTTCACCCTTTCACTCTTAATGGTCTCAAGTTGACACCAGATTATGTAACTACCACATCCAATTCCTTCATCCAAACAAACAAACTAACAAACCAAACCCACCTCCATCCAGTTGATTCCAACTCTTGGTGACCCACAGTAGAACTGACTGCCCATAGGCTCTCCAAGGCTGTAACTGTTATGGAAACAGGCTCCACATTTTTTTCCCTGCAAAGTGGTTAAGTGATTTGAATGACTAGTGAGTTTAAATCACTTAACCACTGTGCCAGCAAGGCTCCTTGATCCCTGCAGTATATGCTGATTTCCCTCCATTTCGTTCTCCCAGTTACCCTTAGCCTATAGTTTTTTGGGGGGTTACTATGTTGTAGGCCTCCTATGCTCGCCTCCTATGCTCGGGGTCAGCAAAATACAGCTCACGAGCCACGTGAGGCTCTTTCCGTACATACATATAGCTCTGAAAATTGAAAATAAAAATAAAATGCTCATAGATTCATTTAAAGGCTCTTAGTTGGCTAATGGTGCTTCATTTGTTTGTGAAAATATACTATGGCTCTTGAATAACTTTTAAATTGTTGTGAGAGACAGGATTGGCTCTTCCATCTGAAAAGTTTGCCGACCTCTGTACCCTATTCCTGGAACTCCTGTCTCTGGGATATCTCTCAGGAACTGTAGAGCTTAGAATGTCTATATAGCTTCTTCTGCCCTCCACCCTCTCCATTTAGCAGGTCCCCCAGAAAGCCTTAGGCTGCTTCCAGGTAGAACCTCTCCTTCTTCCAGAGCTGTCTGTACCCCTGACACATTCTGCACCCAAAGGCCCACAGGTATCACCCCCTCTCAGGAGAGAGAGGTGGGGACTGAGAGAAGGAATGAGTTGGCCCTGGGCCCCACAGAAAACCG